CGAGTTAATACACAGACAATTCTACCAGACCTAACTCAAGAGGGTAGCATGGAATCAGAAAGAAGCACAAGGAGATGACTAAGGTAGCCTTGCTGCCAGAACTTTTCATTGTAAGTTTGGACACCAAATGAAATAGAAATATAGGTAAGTTCTTCAATGCACCAACTGGAGTCACTTTCAAAAGTGATTTAGTGTTATCAGAAAAATAACACAGACACCTGAAACAAAAGTTAGCTGACTTTGAGAAACTGAGTCAAAAATTACAGCCTAATCCCACTTGGATCCCGACATCTGCATGTACATACACCTGCCACTTAAACTTACAAAACACTGTTGGACTTGTAAACTCCTGTGGCCTGCAAACCCCTTCAGAGTAGAGTAGCAGTGTCTGGTAGTTCCAGTCTTATGCTAGTTATGTTTGTTTAAATACATAGTGGAGGTTCTTTTTAAGGCCCAAACACGAGTTTGGGATTTAACATCCCATTAAGTGCTCAAATATATTTGAAGTGAGACTTCCAGTTATTTTTTCGTTGACAGAAATGTAAACTGTACTTCCCCAAACTGCTTAGAGACCCAAGGTAAATGAGGGAACTTCTCAGGAAAATTAGCACTGCTCTACCACAGGGGCACAGTGCCAATCTTCTGCTTGAGTCCAAGCACATACTGAGGGATGTGCCCGAAAGAGACACTTTTTAATTTTAACGTCTTACTTTAACTCTGTCAAGCACGGCCACTATTAGATCAGCACCATAATTTTGCCTAAGACACAAAATGGGCTGACAAGTCTAAGATTACCCAAATCTCTCTTTCTCCCATTTAAAATGGCTCACAGTCTACAATCTTACTGTCCTCTCCCGCTTCCTCAATAAGTAAATTAGAACACTTATCTATTATGGTCTGTCTAGGACCATCTTGTGTAAAACTATCCAGCTTTGGAGGCTACTGTTTAACACTCTCATCTTGGAACTAGACAGTTGTAGCATAAGCAGGAAAATACTTCATCACTGTACATCTCTGTATCACACCCAAATGCAAACCAAAATTTTACAATAACCATCCTTTCAGAATTAGACAGAAATTTACCTTTTTCACTTCAAAATGGATTAAGGCCATAGCTACTGTTCTGTATGTAGGTGATTAACTTTCTGAAACCTGAAAATATCAAAAGGGCAAATTGCCAAATTACCTAAATTTCTTCAGTAGATTGACTAGATTTAGATTTGTGGTGCAGTACATGAAATAAGGCCTGCCCTGAATCCTCTAGTACAGCTTCCTATCAAAGCTGAAAAAATCCAGTTCAGGTCCAACAGTACTCTAATTACACTGTACAGCACTGAACACACTCCACATTATGATAAACTTTGAGCTGGACATATGAGACAAGTCAAGGTGCCTCACCACCACTCCCAGGTCCTTTTATTTCCAGAAAAGCTTATTCATTCAGGGTTGCCATTGTGTGGCAATACATAGAACTGACTCTATCTACCAAAGAATAATTGTGCCTCAACCAACAAACTCTTCCAGTATTTAGAGATAACAAAGAATAAACAGAGACAGCCAGAATTGCCCCTTCACAGTTCTCTATCCAAACTGTCTCAACATTCCATGTTTTTCCCTAAAGTGAGCCACAATTGAGATGGTACAGGGGAGCCTTTAGCCACAATTTTGGGTTACAAAAATAAGTGTACAGTCCATCACAATTTTTTTCTGAGCAAGCTTGTTTGAATGTTTCTTCTTATCCTTCCTTTCAAAAAAAAAAAAACCCTCAAAATTCCATATAGTAAACAAGCTCAGAAAACATAAAACCATCTATATAACTATTCAAACCAAAATACCACCTTCAGACTAACTTCATGGGTCCTTTTGTAAACATACAAAGCAGCGTAACACAGTACGCATCAGTCTCTGCCTAGCAGTTTCTACACTACAGTAACTTTCTAACGACAAAAACATTGTGATTCTGCAGTATTATCCCATTTACCTCAGACCCAATCTTGGCACCATGGAGGGATCCATACCTCCTTCCCTCAACAACTCCAACGTGACTGCCTTCAGCATACCCCTCCTGATACCCCTCACCATGAAACCTGTAAAAACAAAAGTGTAAACTTTTTTATCACCTATTTTCATTTCGTATCAGATTCACCCTGCACACAAGCAACTCACAGAAACAAAACCATACTGTATCATCTCTGAAAAGCAATTACCCATATTCAGAAATATCACACAACACTGATTTAAATTAAGATGTCTCTATGCCTACTGTAACCTTTTCAGAGAGGTTTATAACAATTTGCCAAGAACAACGCACTCTGCAATCCATCTCAGTACTTTCACCAGAATAACACTAACTACAAGCTCACAACTGGCCAAGTTCGCACCTGGTGGAAGAGCTGAGATCGAGCGGGTCGGTCGCTCAGCAAAAGAAAAGAGAAGAATTTCACTCGTGTTTTTTCCTCCTCACCCCTTACCCACTCTTCACCACGCTCACTACCCCGCCCTTCACCCCTCACTTTCTCCTCTCAGCTCCTACTGCCGGCTGTGGAGGCCCAAGCCCAGACCGAGGCCCAGGCCCAGGCCCAGGCCCGGGCCCGGGGCTCCCCTCTCTCCGTCCTAGGCCGACGGTAACTCGCGGCGAGCGAGGAGTCCTGCCCCGGCCACGCCCGCCC